ATAAATATATTGGACATTAGTAGTGATCTTATTGGAACATTGGTAGTCATTCCTAGACTCTTCTATAGTATAGTAATTGGGAAAAGTCCCAATCTTAAATATTATATATTATATTTGGGCATAAACTCCCTTTTATTATATAATAGAATAGAAAAATATAGAGCATCAAATGAGACTAAAATTAGAAAAAATATAAAAATTGAAAGTAGAAACGAATTGACTGATTATTGTTGTCAAGCTCACCAAAGGGCAAAGAGGTGTCACTTTCTTTAGGACGGTGCAAAAATCGAATCGATCAATAAATTAAATCGAAAAAAATGTTATTGGGTTATTACTATTGAGTTAACAGGTTTTTAATTGTTTTATAAGAAAAAATTATTGGGTTATCGATTGGTATCGGTTTTAGTATTGGGTTATTGGTAAATCGATAACCCATCAAGACGATAGCAATTTATTACTATACCCTACATAAATATTAAATATTAATAATTTAACATAACTAATATTAAATCAGTACTCTACACTACGGTCTACACACTTCACACGTCACAGTACTCTTACTTTACATTAGAAATTCCATATTATGTTTTGGTTGTAACTTGTAATTGTAACATTCGTACATCTACTCTTATTGATGCAATTTCTCATTATATTTCTTGTTTCACTATATCAAAGCATTTACAACTGATTTGTTTGTCTCATTGTATAGCGTCAAATTGTTGAGAAGTGAGAAATCATATATTTATTTATGAGCATTTTCTTACTCGGTAAACCGAACCGTTAATGACCAAAAATCGATAAAGAAGATTTTATTAGTTTGTTATTGGTTAAGCATATTTAAAAATAAAAAAATGATAAACCAAACTGATAATACATAAAACCGAACCATCGATGCACACCCCTTTCCTTCTTTGTTGATACATAAATTCAATATTTAAAACTATTAAAAGATATTTTAATAAATTTATTTGTTATTGTACAATAGATACAGACAAAACCAAAAATAAATATGTTATTAATTCACATTTACAATCTACTCAAACGTTATATCCACAAATAACGGAATATAGTACAGTACAACTAAGGGTGTTCATAGTTTGATTTGGATCGGTTATCTGTTAAAATCAAAACCAAACCAATTTAGTCGATTATTAAATTTCTAAAAAACCAAACCAAATGAAAAAAATAACCATCGATTTGGTTTGATTTTTTTAATTATTTCAGTTCGAAAGTAATAAATTTGTTGAGGGCATATGTATCTCGATAGACATAGACACCTAATACATGAAAAAACCATCGGAAAGCTATTGTGGATTCAATTAAACAATACTAGAGTTATTATCACACGAACAAAGAGTTTCAACTTAGAGAAAGTGTGATTATATAATGTGAGGTATGGTAGGTAAAAACTAAAGTAATGAATTTTGATGGACTTGCTCTTAGAATTTTAATAGTTGGGCTAAAATTTAATTGTTGGCTTTAAATAATGACCTAAAGTTGAAGACTTAAGTCCATTAAAATTTAACAAAATATTTATATTTTACTTATGAATAATTATAAAATATAAACTTATTCCTGTCTAATAAAACACTATTGGATCAAGTGAGAATAGAATTGGCTGGGTCATAGAGCCGTGGAAACGCTTGTTTTTCCCACCTTAGCTCCATGAAAGACTGTTTTACTGCTGAAACACACAAGAATTGAAATCTTAAATCAAAACAGTATCAACAGCAAACAGCCAGTACTAACAAGAAGTACTGAATTCTCTTTCATACAGGCCCTGAAAGGAGAAGGAAGGCTGGAATGCCAACGGGCTTCAAGTTGACCAAAAAACTCAAACTAACAGTAATTACATGAGATTGTGCTCTTCATTCTAAAACAAGAATACCATTAAAGGCCGAGGTTCCAATAATTAATGAACACTTTAACAGTGAAAAAAGAAACAATTTACAGAGCATGAATTTCTTTAACTATTTGATCAATTAGATGAACAGGCACAGACAGAGGCACTCCTCCACAGATAATTTCAAACTAAAAATTTCCAAAATGAACCTATATACTGAATTGATCCCCAAATTAATACTATGCATGATGGTAGAATCTACAAATACATCTACCAAGCCAAGACTGAAAAAATGTTGATATCGTCTTTTTTGAGTTGCTCATGTTACTGCTCTCTCTCATAATCATCTCCTAAAAGAGCTCCATCAACTGTTGTGCAACATCTGCAATAAAAAACATATATATGGTGAATCGGACAAGCTAGTGAAGCATTTTGAAGGGAGATTCAGCACATACAATACAAATTCCTTATATATTAACAGAAGAAATCTTGGGGCTGACATTGTTGCCAATCAAAAGATTCATGATGACATTCAGAATCAGTTTCTGTTTTATCTCAAGTCAAGTCTAGCTCTCCATTTGAAGAGCCACAAAAACTAGATGAAAACTAGAACTGGTCCAATTCCATCCTGTGTTGGGCATGATTGTCAGTTTCAATAGAAGGTAAAATCTGGGATTTCGTAGCAACTATATAGCGAAAGTGGACAAAACATGGTGCTCCTTCATAGTGGGGTTAAAACCTCAGAAGGAGAACACAAATATATGTAGAAAACAGTGGTAGAATGTGCAATTTAAAATGCCAAAAAATTTGACTTTAAGCATTGAGTAAAAAATGTTTAACAATTTCAAGACACTTATCTTTATATTAACCATTAGTTCATAACCTAATAACCTAAAAAGATCAGAGTCTGGTGTACTCCCAAACCAATCATCATCATGATCTTAATCTTAGCTTGAATCTATCTCCTAATGAATATTAAACATCGCCTAATTGAAGTCAAAACCGGAGAGACTACAATCCAAAAGGATTTGTCCTACTATGATTCAGAAAAGGAAACTGGAGGTCTCAAGTGGTTTGGGCTTGGGACTTCCATGTTGGAGGTCTCAAGTTCGAAACCCCTTGCTTTCGCCTTCTGGGTCGAGCTTGTCGCACCGGGCATGCCTAGTGCAGGTTACCTCTCCTATGTGGTTTGCGAGCTATTGCATAGGAGCGGGGGTTTTACCCTGTGTGCATCCAAAGGGTAGCGGCCACGGGTTTCCCTTGTCATAAAAAAAAATAAAAAAAAATACATGCAGCCAATACCTAGCAATTACTTTATGTTCTGTGATGTATAAATGTATACCTCTAAGTACATTTGGCGGTGTTTGAAACTCTTTCCAGACAGAATGATGTGAAGCAAAATCCATGTTCAGAAATTTTGATGCAAGATATGCAGCCCCAGCAGCAATCTGGTAAGGCTTGAACTGCAGCCAGAGTGAACTTCGGAGCCTGCAAAAGGAAATCGTCTAAGAATAGGAGATACTAATGCTTCACAAAATTTACTTCCCTGAAGACTAAATGGATAGGCAACATCTGCAGCAACACCATATCACTTGTTAGCCATATTTCAAGAACAGCATGGGATCCAAAACTTTTCAAAAAGGTACATTGGCCAATAAACAGTAACAAGAATACAAGTTTAATACATTTACGGATCCATTAACAATTGTTTTGAGTCATGTGGAAAAGCCAAAAGAGCAAGCCGAGGCAACTTTCTCTTACCAACTACGAAAGCAGCAACCGAGTTCTTCTGCACAGTGTTGAGAGAGAATGAAATATATAACAAACATGTTGTACCCATCTAGAGAGCACCAACTCCTAGTCCCAGCTCCGCTGCAGCAGCATAACCCCAAAATATATGCACCTCATATACCAAAATAGATAGACAGAAGAAGCAACAACTGTTGCGTTCCTTTTTCACTATGATCCACAGATAAATGACAATGGAACTTGTGGACTTGCCAGCTTTGGCCCTCACTTCTAGTTTCACTCGTACTGTAGTACATATAAATAATTTCCTACCATATCTACCATGAATGAACTAACAAAATTGCCCAGAAAAGAGACCCCACCATTCCTTGACCAAAAGTTGGTCCTAAAAACCTAAACAGAACACCGACAATTAAGGCTAACCACTGCTCGATGTTAGGAAGACACTAACATGTAGAAAACTAGTGCCCAGTACAACTACAATATTTACCAATTAAGACATTTTTCCCAAGTAAACTTCTCTGGCTACGTGGCATTCTACAATATTTGGAAAATATGCTACCCAATCCACTAACCAAGCCAAAAGGAGAAGACAGCGCAAGGAGTGAAGGCTTCTCATCGGGAGTAACACTATAACATATGTGTGTGTGCACCTTATCCATATAGTTTTTTTATGAAGTATGTGCGCGCGCGCGTGTGTATATATATATAGGGAGGGGGGCGTATATAGATTTGTATATGGTCTCTGAAACTACTAGTTTCAGAAGAGCTTTATAAGAATAAATATATTGAATTTCTTTGACTTAATTGAGTGAACAAACTTTCACCCACAAAGATTGATAAGCATAAAAAATGTTTTCAAGCCACTATGGTGCTCACACTTCAAAAAATAATAGATAGGTACATATATAGATAGTAAAGAGGTTCAAAATATTTAATGAGTAAATTTTACACATTAGAGCTCCACCTCACCATAGCAATTTTCTCTATGCATTACAAGGCCTTGCCATAAGAACCTTAAGAGAATGCCTCTGCTCTGAACAACAAACTTGAAACCAAGAAAAAAAAGTAATATAATATATATATAAATATCAATATACATTCTATAAGTAATATAATGACTTCTTTGTTATGTGTGGGTATATATAATAAAATAAAACTTGGGACATTGATTTTAGGTTACCAAATAGTTGAGTAAAAAGTGCAGTAATCCTTTCATTACCCCAAAAACTACTTTGACCTCAGCAACTCTGTCATCCCATCTATGCCAGTGCAAGTATACTTTTTTTTTTTTGAGAATTAAAATGCTGTAGAAGGGATTCGAGCGAGTGCAAGTATACTTGATTATAGTAGGACTTCCAATTTAGAGTTCCATCAAGCAACCAGAAGAGATAAAACACTAGCATTTAACACCACTAATCGACTCCCTGGTCCGAATCATTGCCACTTAAGTGCAGTATCCTAGCACAGAGACAAACTACCAATATCGGGCGCTAGCCATACAGCAGCAAGGCAATGAAAGAGGAGGGAGATTAGGTCCTCCAATATGTGCTCCGTCGAAACGAACCAAGCTTGTCCATCGGAGTTGGTCACGTGTCCAAATGGAAAATAATGGATAGGCTAATGTCTTTTCAGAGATCAAGAAGAACAGAACCAGGGAAAGGACAGAAATCAAGCCTCATTATTCAATTGACGCTTATTGTAAGGGAATAGAGCAGCGCCTACTCAGATGCAGGTGTAAATGTTAATACATCTGTCAGTTGGACGATGAATTATCCTACCAGACGAACTCGAAAAGCTGGATTCAGCATGTGATTAGTAGCTGAAGGAGAGAAGATCAAGATGATCAAGAAGAGAAGTAGGAAAAAGTTCTGGTAATTTCTTCTTCTTTTTTTCAAAAAGGAGAGATTGGGAGCACCGAATGGAATCTGGGAACCAAAACAGCAAGCCCCAGACCATGGCACATTTCATTAATAGAGGTAGGGAAAGAAGAAATGGTACCAGAACTACAAATTACAGAAGCACGATAATCTTTCCAAATTATCAACCCAGAAAACAATAGTCTACTCAGACCTACTCGGCCACAAAGGTTACTATACCTTCAGGATGTTACTCTTTATTATACCATGCTTAAGGAATAGTTTCTTTGCTCCAACAAGAAGAGTACTTCTAAAGCCTGTATTGACCAGTTCCAAAACCTGGACTAACCCATACCCCACCATTGAGGTGTCGAGAAAACACCACCAACCCTTAAAGAGTTCCCGGTCCAAATCACTAGCATCCTACGCGGACAACCTGTGGAATAGGCTACATGAAGAGAAAAAGTGCATGAGGACTCCACATCATTTGAACATGAAAAACATAAAGTATCATATAGCAAACTTCTGGAGCATCTTTGACATTCTTCTAGGTCAATGGCCATATTACTAAGATGTCAGCATGGAAAAGCATCCACAAGAAATGGCTAGTTTTAACTTCAGACTGTAAAACAAAACATTTGATGTACAGCATATCAACCGCCAGCAAATATCATACAGGAGAGCAAGCTAATCCTTCTATAGACCCTGCAATTATATGGCAATCCAAAAGATCAATATCACAGGCCAGAGTAGCTAGAGCAGTCAAGGGAGAGAAAAAACCATATTTACACGAGTTACAAGCAGTTGTAGGCCTAAAATGAGTAGTAAGTTGGATGAGAACTTGTCATCCAGATACCACGAAATATTGAATCCCTTTAGATCATTTTGGTTGTGAATCTACGACCTCTGGAAAAGAAGCTATAATACCAAAATAAAATGCAAGGCTCCAACAGAAATCAACTTTGATTCCCGAGGCACATTATCAGTCATATAGAGGTTAACTAACTTACCCTTCACTGACAAGATGTAGTGCCAGATTCACCAACACTGTTTCAGAGAGCCCTAATTTTTCAAGGGTGGATGTAAGAGATTCATATGGATGTTGCACAGTCAGTTCAAAATTTAGAGTGGTCAATAACATCTGTTCAGCCTCAGTAATGCGTTCACGGTACTGCTCAAACCAGTCCTGCAGAAAAACACCATTTAAATGGATTAGAAGTATGCTCAGAGCTTCACAATCTTGCCAAATGAAGAATATTTGGATGATCAATAATGCACAAAGACAAAGGATAAATCCTAACCACGGGTAGAAAATATGATAGAACTGCAAGATCCTGCTTGTGGAAAATTTCACATGAGGCCTTCAGAACATTGTTGAGAGGCCTTGCAGTCTCTTCTGACTTCGCCGCAAGAAAGAGAGCAGCAGTAGCAATCAACTGCATACATAAAAAAAAATACTAACAATTAGCCAAGCATTGAACATAATGAAGCAGAAAGTTAGAGGACCAAAAATATAGCAGATTTTAGCGCATAAAACAATCCACTTACAAATCTGTCATGACATGCATGTGATTGCCTCACAAAGAAGCGGTGACACAGAACCATGGCAGTTCCTATAGTGGTTTGTGGCCTGCAAGCAGGTACAAACAAACATTAGTTCCATCGGATAATAAATTCATAGGAACAAGTAACTTATGCTAGCAATCCTCCAGAGAAAACTAGGAAAAGACAAGTCCCAAAAGCTTAAGAGCCTGTTTGAAGTAAAGTTTTCGAACTTGTGTAAGATACAATGGATTTAAGCCCCAAACGGAAACTTACAGGTCCAAGCGAATTCCAAGGTTCTGAAGGAAAGCACAATATGAGTATCGCAAATGTGCTTCATGCATTGCATCAATACCATCTTTCCTGGATGGAGAGCATTTCTCAATTTCCTCTTTGGACATAAAGATATTATCAGTTTCGGTATCTTCAAGCCATGAGCGGTCGCGCTTAGAACATGTGGGTGCGCTTGCATCAGAACGAGGTCTAGCAGTAGTGGTAGTAGTGGCAGAATTATTGTTACGGGTTGGATAGGCGTCATCATACGCTCTGGAATTCCTTAAAGGAACATTATAGCATGTGCGTTGTTGCTTTGAAGGAACATCTTTACATGCATTGGGTGCTTGAGAGTACCTGCCAGTGCTTTCCCAACCAGAAGTTGAGCACTTCCGCCTCTTCGAAGAAGGTTCAGCCTCAGGCTTTATGAGATTATCATAACTGTAGCTATACTCGCTAAAATTTCTACCCACGTCATGGGAACTATTAGAGTTGAAAAGATGGGTATCAACAGTGTTATAATTGTTGTAAGCAGAGGAATGGACCATTCCTCTACTCTGGTTTCTGCCATAAAAAGACCTGGAGTCTCCACGAAAAGGGCCACCTTGTGAATAGTAAGTCTGGGCGAGAGCCATGATTCCTGTTCAGTTCAAAAATAAATATCAGTACAAACTAAATTGCATCAATTTCTCCAAACAAAGAAACAGACTTCAATCTGGTATTCTCAGTGCACTAACATGAAGTCCTACTCTCTTAAAGCATAAAAGATACAAGAAAGACTGAAACTTCCATACTAAAATTACAGTTTTTTTCAAACAAAACCAAAATATAGTAGAGCAAATCAAATTAAGTCCTTTCTGCAGAGCCAGTTCCATCTACAATCCATTAACTGACACAAAGCCAAGTTCATCATCCTGCAGACATGATCGCTGAATCTTCGTATCCTAACTAAAACTAGACTCACATAGAACTACAATACGAGGTAAGCTCAAATTAATTTTCATAAATACCATGAAACTGACACCAATGGTTTTATTTCTATAATCTCATGAGACAACAATCAATCATCTTAATTTATTTGCAGGAAAAAAAACACCTCACTCCACATCAAATTTAGTTTATAATTCACAAAAAAAAAAAAAACCACCAATCTATCCAAACAAGTACCCCTGAATACTCTGAATAAAATCCCAAAAAACTTCAAGTTCCAATTTTCCCAAAATAACTCACCAAGCCGCAAAAATTACTCAAATTCATAAACTTAAGGATATTATCATCATCCAAAAGAAAAGTCGGATTAGCTCATTTACATATATTAGAAATACCAAAACTATCAAATGAAGTACCAATCTTGCAAGAAAAAAAAAGCCTCGTCAAAGCTACGTATCACATAGATCCTCAAGAATCACAAAATTTAAAGGTATGATTATCAATCAAACGATAAACTAAAGTAGATAAAGATCTAAGTGGAAGAAAGGGTAATACCTGAATATCGCAAGAAAAAAGAGATCGAAAAACTCCGTTTTGGATCGGAAGAATCGGCGAATTTCACAAAGTAATTAAGAGATGATGGAAGAAAGTTACCGGTGATTGCTTGAGATTAGGGTTTGGAGAATTGGTGAAGATGGAAAACAAAGAGAATGAGAGAGAAGAGAGAATAATTGGGTAATTTATTTGGAATTTGGGAAGGAAAGCGGTTATTGTGTTATCTCGAACTACTCGGTTTTTCTTTAATCACTTTTTCAGTCCATACGTATATCCGATTAATTCAAATTCATGTTACATAAGTCATAAGCGTTATTAGCAAAAATTATTTTCTATCAAAGATATTTTAATATTCAACACTAAAATTTAAAATCTTAAATTAAGGATGAAACAGTCATATTCCCGCAGTTCCGCACGATATCTCTTGATAGTCAATGTATATATCTTGATGACCTTTGAAATATTTCCTTGTTAATTTTGTTTATTTATCTCTCACTCGAGATTTGATATAAATTTGTGTATTGTAATACCTATTTTTTTGAAAATAATGCTTTCAATAAGATTTTTATTCATTTTCATAAATTTAATAATAAAAATATATCTAATTAAAAGTGAAGAATCTGAATCATTTCACCACAATTCATCTTGATAACTGTTAATTATATTATGTGAGTTTAGCTATTAGCCTACATAATTGAAATGAACGAACTACAAGTATCTTTTTATTTAAAATGATTTTTTTTTAATTCTATACAAATTTGTCATTCTATATTTCTATTTAGGAAAAAAAATTATAATATAGTTAGGTAAAATCTTCTCTAGCACCCCTACTTTGATAGTTTAATTATGTTTTAATCTTTAAGTAAAGGTATACCTAACCTAGTGAGAAGACTTGTGTTTTCTTTATTCTTCATTTGAATGATAAAATTATGAATAAATTAAAAGAAACAAAAACAAATTATAAGATTTAAACACTATCTTATTCGGATACAAATAATTATGATAATATCAACAAAGTTATTCCTATTTGTTATTAGCAAACATATGAATCTTTAATTCATATTATAGATTTCTGTTAAAAAAATTAATTATTATTTTTTTGATAAATTCTCTCTGGCACTCATAATTTGATTCTTTCCTAATATTTAAAAGAATACCTAACCTAATTGGCCTTCAGTCAACTCTGTTTTTTCTTTACTGATGAAAATGGCAAGACTATGAACAAATAAAAAAGTTATGAGATTTAAACTCTTATATTATTTGAGTATAAATGTGTGTGCTATAATATAAATAAGATTTCATTTTTTATAATCTAATTTCTTGTTAAATATTCTCTAATCCTCCGATCCCACTCTGATTCTCTCTTAATCTTTAAAGATATACCCAATCTAATTGGTCTTCACTCAACCTTTTTTTTTACATTGAAAATGACAAGTGATTAAATACAAGCCTTTTAATATGATTTTCTACCTTGTTTGTGTATGATAATATCAATGTTTACAATTAACTAGTAAAGATATGAATCTTTTACATTATAGATATATGTTCTATAATCTAATTTCCATTTACATTTTTTTGGGATAATTAAAGTCCAATATATCTGAGTGATCTTGTTTACAAAATAGCCAACAAATGTATAAATTTTGTATATTTGAGCTATTATGGTAATTAAGTTTGGTCGAAGGGACAAAAAAAAGAAAGCAGCCCAATAAGATACACTCATACAAGTTTTGGCCCATTAGTTTGGATAATTATTGATTGGGCCTAGTTGGGTACTTGTATAACAAGGATGAGCAAACAAACAAGGGCTGAAAGGCAAAAGCTAAGGGGAAGTTGCCAATACACTATTCGTCCATCTAGTTTATCAAAAATGGCTAAAGTATCCACTACAATTCTCAAGTCGAAATGGAGCTCAAGTTGTGTTTGATTATAGAATGTACATGAAAGGCGTAGAGTAGTGTATACACTACCTAAGATTGATGCGTATAATTGAATTATAGGACATTGTTTATATGGTTAACCTAGTAGGAACATTATCAAAAGTGTCTGATTGAAACACTTTATTGGGAGTTGAGATGTTTAATTAAAAATGAGTTAGTTTGAATGTCAAAATGAAATATCTTTGATAAGTTTAAGAGGCTGATTGTGTATTAAGATTAATTGTATATAGAGGGGGGGGGGGGGGGGATGGGAACTGCATTAAAGCTGGTTAATTAAGTTGTGGTGAAGTTGATATAGGGAGAAGAATATAAGGAAGAAGCTAAGTGAATAAATTGGAGAGACAAAAAGAGAGATTTAGTTGAGAAATTTAATTGAATTGAAGGAGGGAACAGTACTATAGATAAGTTGTAAATAGAGGGGGGAAAAGTACAGAAAAGGGAAAATTGGAGTAAATATTGCAATCAGTGTGGAATGCTTATTATTCCATCCATTCACTTCTACTTGTCATTTATTCCTAAAATAGACTTTCATTTTTACTTGTCACTTTTGACATATAAAAAAAACAATACTCCCTCCGTTTCAAAAAGATTGATCTGGTTTGACTTGTCACAAAGTTTAAGAAATTAAAGAAGACTTTTGAATCTTGTGGTCCTAAATTAAAGTTATGTCAAATGTACAAAATTGCCCTTAATCTTGTGGTCTTAAACATGCCACGTGGAAAGCAAAAAGTAAAATGTTACCAAAAAAGGAAAGATGTCATTTTTTTGAAACTGACTAAAAAGGAAAGAAGGTCATTCTTTGTGAAACGGAGGGAGTAATTCTTTTCCATATTTTACCATCAACATTAAATAATTTATTTTCCAAATCATTTTCCAACATTTAATAAGAGATACTCCTCCGTCCAACAATAGTTGTCCACTATACTATTTTGGAATGTCCAACAATACTTGTCCACTTTGTGAAATCAATTGACAATTTAACACTTAATTCCTAATTTACCCTTATCATTAATTATAGTCATATCTCTATTACATCTTTCAAGACATTATATTTATTACTCCCTCCATTCCACATTAATTGAATTTTTGAGGCATTTTCCATTTTTCAAATTAACTTAATTGTTCAGCTCTAAAGATTACTTTTAGAGTGTTCTTCCAATTTTACCCTTTATTTGATTTTTCAATGTGATGACTTTAATAAATTTGACAATAATTAATAAGGGTAAAAATGGAAAACTATATTTAATTTATGCCTTAATCTACTTTTCTTAAAGGGTGTGACCTCAAAAATTCAATTAACATGAAATGGATGAAGTACTATATATTCAAAGGGTAATATAATAAAAGAGAAGTGCTAATGGCCAGAGTAAACGGATGGAGTATTTACTCTTTGTGGTCCCAAATAAGCATAATTAAGGCATGAAATTTGGAGCCAATAAACTTTAATTTTCAAAAACTTGTACACTACTCTCAGATCTAATTAAACCTTCTTGGCTTTTCCGTACCACGAAACCAATACTCATTAATTATTTATTAATTTCGATGTATTTAAGGTAATTGATTGAGATTAATTACCGATTAATTAATATTTCTCCCTATAGGTGCTTCAAATTTATAACAACTCTTCGTGATTACGAATGACTACTCATAGTGATAGGCAGAAAATGCATGTCTCAATAATTAATGTTTGATATTAGAGTATATGCTTTGACTTTTAAGTTTTCAAATATGGAACAAAAGAGATATTTCCACCATCTATCTTTATTTGTTCGGTATATTAAAAATAGTTATTTTATTTTATCATTTTGTGTCTATTTTATTTTTCTTGTTAAATACTACTCCCTCCGTTCTTTTTTATATGTCATCCCTTTCTATAAATAGTTGATCCATAATACTTGTCATTTTATAAAATCAATGCATAAATTACCATATTGGTCATTTTTTACCCTTGTAAGTTATTAGCCTTGAAAATATAAATTTGACCAACTTAGAAAAACTAAGTAAATGATTCATGTTCATTGGTTAAATTAATTAATTAATCAAGATAAATTAATTTATATTCATGATTGAAAACTTGAGTTCCAAAAAAAAAAAGAGTAGAAGGATAAAGTTAAATCATTCTTTAATGCAAGTGCAAAGTAAAAATGTGACATATAAAAAGAAACGGAGGGAGTACTATTCACTCGCCCACATTTAAATGACCTATATTCAATAATGGTGACATAGTAAAATTATCATTATTTCTCAAGGATGATGTTAAGTCAAATATGACTAAGTAAAGATGGACGAAGGGAAGTATATATGCTCAAAAGTTGTAGTGGAGTATGTAGCAAGATTTTTAGGTTTGTTTTACTAAATTATTTTTATTATTTATGCTCGATTGAAGTTTGACTATCATTATTTTATATAATTATTTAATGTTAAAGGTAAAATGAAAAATCTATTTTAACGTAAGAATCAAATGGAACGGAGGGAAAAATATGTATCAATGCATATAATTAAACAGTGTTTTGGAAGTTGCAATTAATCATTTTATTAATGAGATTGCTTCATTAAGCATGTGACACTGTTGAGTTTTCCCCTTCAATCAAGACTAGATTTATAGTACTACTTTCTTAATCACAAAATTAGGGATTAATTAATGAGATTAAATTAATTAGTTTTCAGAACTTGTTTTCGTCTTTATATGCTTAATTCGGAACTGGTCTTCATCGGATACCAATAATCTAAATCTAAATCAGCAATTGATCAGAAAAAAGAAAATAAACTGAAAAACAACTAGAGAACAACCCATAACATAAATTTTACTAAGTATATATTTTAATACTATACATAAAGATATATATATATTAAACGAAATGTCATTATTTGACAAAAGCTATCTATTGACGTGTTGGTTCACTGGCTGATTTTGTTGTTTGAAGTAGATCTCTTCTAACTTAAAAATAGTTTAAACCAATGAGTCAAGGATATAACCTATTTAAATGTACGATAATATATTTTTCCTTCTATAAATACTGATATCATTTTTTAAAAATTCTACATACGCTACTGTGTGTATCTTAGTTATTAATGTTATATATGGAACATATGAACATTTTCATAATGGGTTGCAAGTAGCTTTTGTGAAAAAATCTGATCATCCAATCAAATTTTTTTAAAGCAAAGAATACAATAATTTGTTTACACTCTTTGAAATATCCTTACACAACAGATGACATACAAGTGAAAATTAAATAGTATCCTTCCGCACGTATTAAGACTACAAGATAAAAAGTAAATT